CCCTGAATATCTCATCTTCCTGCTGGGAGGTATCAAATACCTCTAACAATTCCGTGCACAAAGCTCTGTCATGCAATTCCAGCATAGAAGCATTGCCGTCATCAGAAAACGAGACCTTAACTGATGACATTCTTCGTTCTTTAGCAAGATCACTTAATGCATCCATCAAGCTGATCTCCGAGTTTGACTACAGCTCAAGAAATAATTACACCGCCACCATTGCATTTATCTTAGATATTGATAAAGAGGCTTGGAAACAATCCAACTTTACCAGTCACATGCAAATAGTTGAAGCTATCGCTTATATTAGTGCTAATCTGATTGAAAAAGTGGACCAGTTCAATTCTAGCGTACTTAACAAGACTTTTGAGGTACCTTGGAACAACACCGTTGTTTATGGAGATCCCGGAAGCCTTCTTGTTTACCCTCTGTCTCCGGAATGTCCCTCCGGACAGGCCCTCGATGGAAATGGATACATTTGTGGTGAGCATAACGTCAACTTTAATCCATTTCCTATTGGCTTGGAGTTATAACAAGGGACAGAGTTAGAAAAAGTTCTGCTTATACCTCATTCCAGACATTACAGCCTTGTCTTTAACTGCTAACATTTGTGGCCGCCGTGACGGACCTCATGAAGGCCTTCACGACTTAACGTAGTTTACACACAGATTACACTTTGAGTTCAGTTGTCTTTGAACCGTATAACTAACTGAACGTGTAAAAAGCCCCTCTGATGTATTTGTGATCGCTTTAGTCTTACATAATTTACTTGCTTACACCTCTATGCTTACGAGTTAGCCAAAAAATTTAGTTAATAAAGAATTCTTACTTGTCTGATCTGCGTTCTCTCTAAACATGCAGTGTCCTTATCTCCTTAGCAAACTGTCCTGCTGGCTCATTATATGAAGAAGAGAATGAAACATGCGCAGAATGTCCGTTCGGAACTTACCAACCTGTGCAAGGACAAACAAGATGTATTCCCTGTGGCACAAACCTCACAACAGCCTTTAATGGAACAGTGGAAGAGTCAGACTGTATTGGTAATGTCAAGTATATTTTGTTTTGGCTCGGTTTTATCTCGGGTGACATTTTGTTTTCACATAGTGAAAGAATTTTACACTGAAGTATTCCAACGAGTCTAATATATTGTACTTCACTTCAGTCAATCAAAAAATATCTTGGTTGTCTTCATTGATTCATAATACCCACCGTAAATATTAAAAATGTCTGATGTTATAAAAGCTTAAAGAGAGATGAAGGATGATAGAAAAAATTTAGGAAAAAATCAAAATTAAAGAAGATATTAAGATATCTTTAAAGACTCTGCATGAGCCAAAGGCACCATTAATATCACTTTTTTCTCTTTATCCGGTGCCCCTTCAGCTGATTGTCCAGCTGGTTCATACAGTACAAAGAACAAAAAATGCTCTTTTTGTCCGCTTGGTATGTATCAACCATCCCGAGGGAAGCCAGCTTGCATTGCTTGCAGTAAAAACCTAACAACAATTACCAACGGAACTGTTGAAGAAATACACTGTATAGGTAAGTTAACATTTGTCACATTTTCAGTTCAAATAGAGGGCCATTGAAGCTATAGCTTCTGGCCACAAAACGTTAGCAAATTGGCTGGCATAGAAGCAACTTCTTCCTTTTATGTTACGTTTTGGCAAAAGAGGATTGAGGCCTCTCTTGGTTTTGTGTTGTACCTAGACAGCCCCTAACGCAGGAAAACGGAAAATGATCAAATCACGATTGGATTTAGTCTTAGATTTGATTGATTCAGAGGAGGTGCAGGTCTTCTAAAAAAGTCTAAAGGCGTGGTAAGGCAAAACCGTAGCAATTCTCATTTCTTTTGACTTTCATGTCAAAAATTACTCCAAAAACTGGGCCTGTCCAACAGAAGAAACGACGACAAGTCACGGGAGAAAGTGAAGATTGTTTTCCCAGTTGTGCAGTAACTTAGTAATTTTTCCATTTTTGTCGACTGTTCCGAGTCTCGAGAAAGCCATGAAAACTGCAATGAGTGCCTCGCACGACTTACTGTTAAGAATTGTTTAACCATTCTTTATGCAGCGAACTGTCCTGCCGGTTCGCACAGTTCTGTGAACCGGACATGCGCTCTTTGTCCGCTTGGTTCTTACCAGCCGTCTGTTGGTCAGATGGATTGCCTTCCCTGCGAACAAGGTTTCATCACAGCCTCGCCAGGAGCTGTCAGTGTATCGCAGTGTGAAGGTGGGCTAGTGCTGTCTCCTACAACATTTATGACTCGTTTTCAGACTACATTGCAATCCTACTTTGTAGGTCAAATCACTTAAGATTTCAGTGCTAACAAGATTGTGAAATTAGTGTATATTTTTACTTTCCTTTCCACATGACAGAAAAACCAGTTACTGAAGACAAAACAACCATTTCTACACCATCGGTAACATCGCGAAATGTTGAAATGAAGGTAGGTAGATTTTCTTATTTTTGGATTCGCAAGACGACAAGAATTCAAAGCGATCTGGCTTTACAATAAACAATTTTTTTTCAATGTTCTCATTTATAAACTGAGATGTTAAAACTTTACGATAGCGAAACGAGAGCTGGCTAACAAGACAGGTTAATTGGAAGCTTCTTGTAATAAGGGCTTTGTAGTCAGGTACTAGCCATGCGATAGCCTCATCTTCTCATGTCTTTCATTTCTCTTATCAGACAAGTACCAACGAACAGCTCACAACTAAGACCCCAGGGGAGGCCAAAGAGCAGGGAAAGGCTGATGAGTTGTCTTGGAAACTTCCCGTCATCATTGTTGGGGTACTTGGGGTGCTAGGTAGGCCAAGTACAATCCTAAACGTTTCAGTACTTTCTCTTCAACTGATATCTTGATGATTAATTAGCAACACACATTTTCAACCGATAGCAACCGCGCCTTGAGGTTCCTAACTCATTTGGCGCTTCTGCATGCGGAAGAAAACGCAAACATGCGAGGCTTATAAAACCGAAAACATAAATTGTGTACATTAATGTTCATAAAATCTTATTCCCTTTTTTAAAACCAGTGATACTCAGCCAAGAGAAAATAATGTCCCATTATTTTCTTTTGTAATCAGCCGAATTTGATTTTTGAAAGCTGGACTGCGAATTTCTGGTGTCTATCCATTATTTTGGTGAACCTTGATGCATGATTAATAATGGTAATTGAACTGAGTGGAGTGCAATTTGGGCTGAAATCATACGCGTGATTCCAAAATTGAACGAGCGCGCAGCGCGAGTTCGATTTGAAATCACAAGTATGATTTCAGACCAAAATTGCACAACACGAGGTTCAATTACCACTTTATTACATCCATTTTGAAATCGCCCAAATGCAGGACTTGGTCAATTCAAATATTTTATTAATACAATACTAAGCTGGTTTAAAATTAAATTCATCCATTTTTTGAGAGGAAAAAATAAGAGTTTTGGAAACAAAAATTTCAAAATTTGCCATATGATACTCCATGTCTTTCATCTTCCTGCAATATGATCGGTTAATTTAAACAAGCCTTGAAGTCTGATTGGTTGTTTTGTTTTTAGTGTAGCCTCCTCACTGGCTGGGGAAAAGATGCGATTTAAAGCAAAAAATGGTGCAATTTGTGAATAAATCGCACCAATTAGAGCCAATCAGATTACAGGGACCATCAGTGATTTCAAAATGGGTGTAATAAACCCGTTTTACTTTTGTTTCGATTCTGACTCGTGCCGTGTTTTAATCAGTGCTAGGTGTCATACTTTTGGTATTCTGCAACTGTAAAAGACGTAGAGCAAGTAAGGATGATTCAAAACCTAACATAGAACCAGCACAGACGGCGCAGTTTGAGAATCAAGCCTACCTGGGTAACCGAGACCACCGGATCATAAAACCGATTGGCAATCCACTCTACGACTTCGTCGAACAAGAGCCACGAAAACGAGCAGACGATAACGAATATTCATTTGCGGACGAGCCAGTGCAGGTTGAATTGAGTGAAGATGATCCTGAAGGATATTACGAAGACATTGACGCCCTTAAAGCCAAAGATTCTACAAAGGACTTTGAAAAAAACACTTCTGGTTTTACAAACCTTGGCTTTCAGTGAGACAGCGATGGTTTATTGTGTTTGATCAAGAGATCACATGATCTCTTGTTTTGGTGAATTTGGTGAATTTGGCTCCTTTTTTTCGGTTCGCTTTAGTCAGAACAAATTTTCACGTTTGCTTTGTTTAAGAGACAGAAAAGGTAAAGCTTAGAGGAAGGGGTGGGTGGAATTCCTGACAGGCGTAAGACAAGGATGCCTACGCGATGAAAAAGAGAAATGATATGGGAGCCCCCTCCCCCTCCACATTGAGTAATTTTTTAGTAGCCCCC